CAAATCCTAAACCCCTAAACCCAAAACCCGTGGGGAGTCTCCTCAAAGGCTCCTCGCCTTGGTCGCGAAGCCGCACGCGCGGCGGCGCGGAAGAAGGCTGTGCTTGGAGGGCTGAGCGGCGTTCAGGGTTTAGGGTTGAGGGTTTAGGGTTCTAGGGTTTAGGGTTTAGGGTTCAGGGTTTAGGCTTTAGGGTTCAGGGTTTGGGGTTTGAATTTAGGATTGAGAGGTTCTTGGGTGTGTGGTTTGGGGATTCGGGTTTAGACTTCAGGTTTTAGGATTGCGGGTTCAGGGTTTAGGGTTGAGGAGTTCTTGAAATCGCTCCGGAAAGGTGCACTATACCCTAACCCTTAAATCTCTAAACCGTAAAGCCTAAACGAAACCCAAATCTTAAACACTGAACCCAGAACCCTAAGCCCTGAACCCTGTAACGGTACTATAGGGTCAAGGGTTTAGGGTGTAGGATTCCTTACCTGCGGAGTCGAAAAACTACTATTTTGACGGAGAATATTCATGATTAAGGGATTATAACCCACCATTTTGTAGTCATGGGGTTCAGGGTGTAGTTTTGGGGTTCGTTAGATTTAGGGTTCCAGAGGGGCTCTTTAGGGGTTCCAATGTCGGGGTTTGGGTGTTAGGTGTTGGGATGCTTTGGGGGACCCTGGCAAATGTAAGCTTTCAGGATTTGGGTTTATAAGGCGGTCTGCCGATTTGTTGCGATCGTGCAGGGATTATTGGGGTTTTGGAGGGTAGTCCCTAAGGGTCCATGTGCTCAGATAGGATATTCTTTGGCCTTAAAGTAGTCCCTATATAGGTACTTTGGGGCCAATGTATATACTATTTGGGCCCATGGACCCTTAGGGTAGTATTACCGGGATTCACGGTGTCGTAGAATGATGGTTCGCTGAGAACCGCCAGTCGAACTCCATGGACAGCCCGGGAGAAAAGCCACATCTGAGAGGAAGGGTAAGGTCGCTACATAAACCTCGAGCTACGAGTTTATGGGTTTAGGTGTAGCTTTGGGTGGGAGGGTTGGAAAGCCAAGTTACGGTCAACTTCCCATGTATACGTTAGCAATTTCTTAGTGCGAGAACGATGTCCAAATACCTGTACCAGCCCATTGCGCTGATCCTTGCTGTATCGGTGATTTAGGTGGCATATAGGCGGGTGCCGGAGAGGGTATTTGCCGCTGCTGCCACCTCAACAGCTTTTAACAAGGATCGCAACAAACCGCGTGAAACATGTTTGAAATGCAAGTATCTCTCTTCAGGAGAACACAATGCCTATGCAATCTATGGTGAGTGTGCATGGTTGCGTGCTTGGATACTCGAGAGGTTTCCAATCCCAGGGTTACAACCTGTAGGGGCATAGAATCCGCCAGCCCTTTTCGCTTTATGCTTCTGGGTTGCGGGTGTAAGGAAAGCCCGACACTCCAGGAGCCCTAGTTTATTTTCCTGAGGCATCCATCCTAGCATTTCGTGTGCCAGGCTCTATATCGTCCTGTAATGCAAAGGGCTTCTCGTTCTTCGAGCTTCGAGGTCAGCCTTCTAGCAATGACCATTCACTGGAACCTGTAATCGTATATTGGAATCGTATCTAAACCCTAGTTAAACCCTACAAACAAATAATTCAGGATATACAAGACTTGCTGCCATATAAATATTATAAGACCATTCTACGCAACTCCGGCAACTTGCCCCAAACCCTAAGCTCCAAACCTACTGCACAGTGTCGTTAAAGATTCCTAAAGTTTCTGCGCAGGCAGACACCCCCGGGCCAACAGCTGCGGGCACACCCGGTGCCGAGCTGAGAAACCTCACTGTCTGAGTAGTGTAGCGGCCTAAATAATTACCAACACTATGTTGGCGGGTTCCTTCTCGTAGTTATAGTATAGAATATACCCCAGTCCTTCTTTATCGTAGTTATATAGTATATAATATACCCCAAAACCTTCTTTATCGTAGTTATATAGTGTATATAGTATACCCCTCAAACCCTATTATTATTATTATTATTATTGAGGCCCCTACGTTATAGACCTACGACCGAGGATTTCGAGCTCAGGAGGGGTTTCGGTGATCGGTGTCTTTTGAGTTGAAAGTTTGATATACCCAATTTAGGGTTTAGGGTTTTGGGTTTTGGGTCCAATCCTAGAGAATCCATAGATACTACTATTATGGAATTATATAGGTCCCCAAAACCATTATAAGGATAGTCTTTTGGGCCCCAATTCCACAATGGCAGTGTGCATGGACCCTCTGGGAATTAAGCCCAAAGCGAACCCGACTTCATGAAGTAGACAACCTTCTGCGATATACTAGCGAATACTGTGGGACTGAAAGATCAGTGATCCGCTGAGGGTCTGGGGTTTAGGGTTTAGAGGTTCAGGCTTTTAGGGTTTAGGGGTTTAGGGTTTAGGGTGTCTCGAGGTACAGGTGCACACAATGACTTTCTGGGGCAACCTTCAACTACGAGTCCTCCTATGTTCTGGCGTTGGCAAGCCACCTTGCTGGTCTGTCCTGCTCTATTTCCTTAACCCTATCCATTTGCCCTGAAGTAGTTCCTTTTTGGGGTTACCTTATAAGATTCTATACATGAACCCCAAAAAAGGAACTACTTTAGGGCCTATGGGTAAACCCTAAAGATCCCTTCTAGATCCCTTAATTAACGATTTCCTCAACCCTAACTAAACCCTGATGATCCCTTCTAGATCCCTTCATTAAAGGGACTTTTGTTCTTATCCTCGCCCCGCCCCGCCCCACACTTGGGTCGGCCCTCAGCGCAAGCCGCACAAGATAGGAACGTCCGCAACTGCAGAAGTCTGAGGTTGTTTAGGGGTTCTTTCAGGGTTCTTTAAGGGTTCCTTTAAGGGTTTAGGGTTTTGGGCATAGGGGTCCATGTGCCCAGATAGTACATGCTTTGGCCTTAAAGTAATCCCTATTGAGGTATTTTGAATGGGGTCAAAATATATACTATATCTGGGTACATGGACCCTTCGGGAAAAGGCAATGAGGTTGTGGACAGTGGTATTAACCCTCACGCCCAAACCCTCAATCAAGCCCAAACCCTAAACCCAACTAAAGCGTGCAACTAAACCCTAGAGCCCAAACCCCAAACACAACTAAGGCGTGAAACTAAACCCTAGAGCCCAAACCCTAAACCCAACTAAGGTGTGCAAACCCTAAAGCTAGAACCCTAAACCCAACTAAGGCGTGCAAGTTGAACCCTCAAAGGGCACCCTGTTCTAATTACTAACCCTAAGGGTCCATGTGCCCAAATAGTATATACTTTGGCCTTAATGTAGTCCCTATATTGGTACTTTAGGACCAATGTATATACTACTTGAGTACATGGACCCTTAGGGTAATATAGTACCCCTAAGCAGTAGGATCCGTCTTAAACCCTAAACCCTAAACCCTAGTTCTAATTGCTAAGGCCCCCTGTGTTAGAGCCAAGGCCCAGCTGCGGAAGCCAAGGAAGTCAAGGCAGCAATTGAAGCCTGGGATCTAGAGTTTAGGGTTTTACGGGCTTTACGGTTTAAGCTTTAAGGGGCTTAGGCTGATAGTTTAGAGTGAACCCTGAATTTCGCAAGCTACGTTTTAAGACAAACCTTAATTTCATCCTGAAGGGTTCCAATTGCACGCCCCTGGCCTCCCCAGCTGGCATGTTCACTGCAGGTATCTTGAAGGCTTACGATTTGGCTCAGGGTGTCAGGCAGAAAAGGGAGTAAGGGTCACAGAGACATGTCAGTTTCCTGTTCACTAGAAGACATACGTCTTTCAAGCACAGACTTGACACTGCTTCAAGATTTAATTCAGGTTGTAGGGAAGCCTAAATAGTTTGAGTTTCGGCTTGTGGTACAACTTATTTGTGGTACGTCTCATTGAAGAACCCTCACCAATAGCGTTGGCAATAAGTAGGATCCCCATATTTGCTAGAGTGGTTGGGTTGCAGATTCGACGCTGACACCATAGCGAGACTACGTGCAGTAGGGTTTGGATTATGATAAGTTTAGACTACTAGTGTTTTCCAGGTCCAGTGCAATGTAAATCCAAAAAGCCTTCAAGGAGCCCTACAAACCCCCGCACGACTCTTCTATAGCTTACGCGATAAGTACGAAGCCCTAAACCTTAAAAGCCGAAGCCCTAAACCCTAAGCCCTAAACCTTAAAACCCGAAGCCCTAAACCCTAAACCTTAAAACCCGAAGCCCTAAAGCTCTCAAGATTGTGTTCAGAGGCCCCCTGTGCCTGCACAGGACACTTGGATGATAAGCGCAGGTTTGGGCTCAAGAGCTCTCCCAGTGCGCAAGCCCAGTAGTGGCTTCGATTGAAAGGGTTTTAGGGTTTAGGCGTTTAGGGTTGAGG